GTGTGCATCGATTTTATCGCTTCTTTAACAAAACCAGTTTATAACAATCACACAGCACCTTCCAAAATTCTAGCACAAATTATTGTGTTTTATAACATTAAAATATCACATTAATTAACTAATTATTATTTTTAATTATTGTCACTAGACTGACCTGGTTTTACACAAAAAATTATTCATCTGTATAGAAAGAATAATGTTTGAATCAATCAAATAGTAGGTTGGGAAGGTTAGGTTAGGTGTATACTCAAAATATACGCATTACAGTACGTTATTATGATTTATGTACAATATTTCATTCAGTGTTTTATGTAATAAGTGATAGATATACTAAAGATATATTATTAGTACCTACAAATAATAGATCGGATTTAAACCATAGATTTCTTACAAAAAAAGAACATTAAGAGAACGCTACACCGCCCATTTCTAAGGAGTAAAGTATAGGCAATTTTTTAACAAATCTTAAATTAAAGCTTGAACTATAGTGTATACTTATTGATACAGTAATAACTAATAACTAATAAGGATTCTTTATTGATATCTTTTTTTTTTTGTCAAACTATCACAGTATTATTTCTATATGATAAATTACAATTTATTTTTCATCATGACTGCTTTGCGTGTTACAAGTACGTGACAACAGTAGATAAACCAAATTTTCACAACGTATAAAGAAGAACTTTATTTATGCCATAGCGATTTTATTTTTGTTTTGATATCTGTACTTAACAATGTTGTATAAGCAAATAAAAAAAGTGGGGGGGGGGATTTTACGCCATTTACGTTCGAAAGCTTCCTTTGTCACTTGCGAGATGCGGTCGCAAACTTTAAAAAAAGAGGAGTGGGTTATAGTTGTGGATACCTACCATATTATAAGCCACGAAAACCAATAGTGTAAATTGTAAGAACTGAAATGAACTTGTAAGAACGCAGTCCATTAACAAAACGAGAACAAGAAAAAATGTCAAAACATTAAACAAAAATGTTCTAATGACAAAAACAAATAATTAGAAAGATGTTGTTCAATGATCTATGTATAACACCTTGACCGTTGACACCATGTAAAACGTGTATACACATTGCTTCAAACATTTGAAAAATAAAAAAAAAAATCAATATAAAAAATGCTAAGATCTCAATTTTTGTTTTACATCGGTATTTTAACATAATATTTTGTTCAATAAGTGTCATCGTTGTAATCTATAAAACTATTGATCTACGTTTGTACAGATTTTACATAAACAGTTAAGTTAAGTATATGCAAAACTCTGGTATTCCGTATTGTCAATGTCAATGCCGGTTTTCTAGTTTTGAACTTGTGGTGTACACGTACTTGCCAATGTCACATGCCTATGGCATTCTTTAACGTTCTTTAAAGCTCCGGCAAACGAGCCACTGTCGTCTTGGTGTAGATTTGGGCAAAGCTAATAATCCCCAACACAGTGTTATTGCACTGCCGGTATTTATTTCACTGCCAGTTGTTAAACCATCGCAGAGTTGCTATACACACGTGAATATTGCAAGAAATTTTGAAAAGCACTTACACACACAATAGATCAACCGACCGATTGTTGCCGCCGGTTTCGGTAATAATCATCGTTCGTATGTATATGATGGTGTTTAAAACACTTGTATAAATAATCGACGATGCTCGAAGAATTTGGTTTGTTGTTCGCGTTACACCTCGCTTGTGGGAAACGGTCTAACTCGCGTGATTTGTCTACCGGGACTCACACTCAGCTTACCTCTATAGGACAGTTTGGGCTGCTATTTGGAAAATATTTCCAAGCCAAAAAACATGTATACCTTTACGGTTGGCGTAAGCGCTGTCGTTTTGTTGTTCCAAGTGATACAGTTGACGCGATCGATGCAGTTGTACGAGGGACCCAGGGCTTTGCAAGGTGGTTACAACGGACCCTACGAGGAGATTTGCTCAAGGTATACACCTCAAATTATTTTTAAGGGACCGCATAACAACATTTATGATATTTTATATTATGTTTTTACCAAAACACAACAGCCATATCGACTTTTCCAAGTCTCGCAAGCGCTTAAAATAAAAAAAAAACGAGAAGATATTTAAATAAAACATAATTTTGGACGTCCCCTTCTTATGTATTGTTAAAGAATAATATAATATTTTTTAAGTATCGTTATAGTTTAAATAAACTGTTTTTTTCTTTTATTGGTGTAGCTGTTGTTTTTTAGTCAAACAGTAGCGATAGTTAAATAAAGACAGACCCGTGGAAAAAAACAACATTTGAAACCCGGGGCCACATTTTTTTTTGGGGGTTTTTCCATAAATCTGACAAACATATGCAACAACTTTTTAGTAAAACCCTACTTAAATTATAAAATATTTTAATAAATATCACTTTTTGGTAAATCAGCGAAAAAAAAATAAAACAATATGTCTTGTTAAAGACAATTCCATACGTAGATTATTTATATTATTATAGGAACTCTTTTTTTTATTTTTTCTTTATAACTTGCAAATGTTTTGGGATAAGTTGTTATAGTTTATTGTACATTTGTACCTAAAATGTATTTTTCACATGATAATATCATTCATCAAACAATATGAATTCTCCTGGTTAGCAAATGTTATAAGTTTTTTTTATATGTGACCTAATTTCGAAAAGACACTTTCTGCGGAATTACTGCTACGTAAAAGACTCAAATAATAATTTGTTTACGAACCTATAAGAAAGTTTATAAAAATATTAACAAATGATTTTTCATTGAACCATTTCCAAAGTTTAATTATACCAAGAAGAAATCATAGACAGCGTTGCTTAAGTTACAGTACTCATGAAATTGGCCCAATTCGTTGTTTAGTGAACAATCTAAACATTTTTTATTTAAAGATGTTTTTTTAAAGATTTTGAATATTTTCAGTTTCAGTATTATACTAAACAATATTTTAATGGATTAATAGAATTATACACTTTATTGTTTATATTGCACTGTCTAATTGTTTTGAGCATTTTCACGGATGACCTACATATTGTAACGGTTGACGTTTTTGTTATCACCCGAAGTTTCTGAATCTTTTTAAACTGGACCAAATTTAGTATCAAAAGAACGCATTTTTAGTATTTAAGCAATTAGAGATCCACTAATAGTTCTACATTTTAAATTTAAACTTAAAACAAGAGCGGATCTTTGAGCCGAAAAGTTAACGATAAGAAAAGGCAGGTAAATGAATAAAAAGGTTTTTTTTTAAATTCTGAAAGGTTTTTGTACAATCTATTCAAAATTAACATTCGGAAATTAGAAATATACTACTAGGCTAGGAATGAAATAAATATTTTATTAAAGCCCGTTCTAGACTGAGGGGTAAAGTATTTTTTATCTATAATTCAAACTTGGCTAGATTTTTTTATACAATGGGATTATTTCAAGTCATATCAGCCGCACTAATATTGTTTAGGCAACAACAATTCTATTTTATAATAGTTAGAAACTATTGGGAACATATTTAGGAAATATTGACAGTTTACTTAGTATTGCGCTTACAAATCATACGCCTGTTAAAAATGTGTTCGGTATAAGTGTGCCGACTACAGTGGATTGAACAAACATTCGATGTAGGATTCATATTATATAACAAAACAATATGAAGACTTCGACAACTCGATAATTATTATCGAAACAATGACCTAATGACTGAAGGAACGTATTATGTATTTAGCAAAACACAATTCAGTAACAGAAAAGAGTTGTTAATAAATGCTATTATCTTATTTTAAATTATACACTAGACAATTATAAAATCGGAGTACCTTTGCAGTTAGATAAAACTTGAGTGGACAATAATTACTTTTGACATGAATAAAAAAATAAAAAACTGAGTGGTGTTTAAGGCAATGTGATAAAATTGTAATAAAAACAAGATTTTTATGTAACTTTAATTAATGTCTTTATATTTTACTTATTTTTTAATATTAAAATGTATTAAAATGCTATTAAAAAAATCGGGTTTTCGACAATTATTACTAAGAATATCAATCATCATAATTCTCAAGTCATAAAATTGTAAATATAACTTAACCATATTTTTACAATATTGTTAACACCTTAAATTGCTTTTGAACTTTAATCAGTCGTCTCTAAGCCTGATCTAAATGCTGTGTAATTGCCACACTAATACGTAATATAAAGTAATAACTTTGACGTAGAAACTAGGATGAGTTAAAAATAACATGGACAATATGTTTTTCAAGTCTATAATACTTTTATGAATATTGTAATTAAGCATGTAATAAATTATTACATGCTATAATTTATATTTTATTAAAATAGCTTTTATAGTGTTAAAAACACATCACCTCATACCTATTCATTAAATTATTACAGCTATAAAATAGGTAAACAATGAACACTTTCATTGTGTAACCAAATAAATAAATACTATATTGTTCAATATTTGATCCAGACAATTTAGCTAATAATAGTTAATACGGTAACACAATTAATGTAAATACTGTTTTTAATAAGTAATAAGTAAGGTTAGGTTGTAACGTGAGTTGCTTTAAGTTTTTTTCTAGATGAACTATAATGTTTAATAAAACAAATAATTTAAAAGTATTACGTTATAATAAAATCGTGCGAAGTTCATTAAAATAACACAGCAAGTATATTTTAAACACTAATAATAAAATCATGTAAAAGTTTAGTTAAATGTCTGCTTCAAAATACCGTCTAACTGCATTGTAAATTGGGATTGAGGGGCACTCAGGTCAAATAAATAGACCCTGTAATATATAAATTGACCTTAGTTTACTGTTTTCAAAAATAACCCAAGTGGGTTTATTGTAAACAAAAATATGAAACAAACGTAAATGCAATTTGTTGAATGATACAAACTACTGGCGGTATTCAATTATCATTGGATGTTTCTTTTTAATGTATTTCTTAAGTTAATAAAACACAATCACATCTGACCCTATGCGAATTCATGTGAATTACAAACTGAAATTAATCATTTTGTTTAGCCAAATTTATTGTCATGGTGAGCTTTTGGACGACGTGCAATCAGCGAGATTGTATCCAGATTCTAAGACGTTTGTAGACATGACAATGTTACGTGATGAGGAGGACATCGTAAACGATTACAAAGAATTAAAAAAATCGTACGGTGGAGTGCCCGACAACCAAACTCTACTGGCGTTTGTAAATGAAAACTTTAAAACAGAAGAACTTCAAAAGTGGCTTCCCCCAGATTTAGTTGATTATCCTGCTATCGTGGAGTACATACGGGATCCCGCTTACAGGTAACCAACAAGTTATTAATGTTGAGTCACCACACTTTCCTATAAGAGCCCATTCACTTTTGCTTATTCACTCGAGTGCAGTAATGCAAAACTAAAAACGCCGTTTGATTTACTAAAATACACGAGTTGTTATTTTTTGCGATAATAATTGTGTTATGCCCTAATAAAATTATTTATTCAAACAATTAATCAGACAACTGGCGGTGGATGTCAACCAAATATGGAAGCTTTTGGCGAGAAAGATACCCGATGACGTCAGAGAGTCTCCGAAACGTCATTCGCATATATACGTGCCAAACGGCTTCTTTGTGGCTGGCGGTAGATTCAGCGAGTTGTACTGCTGGGACACTTACTGGATAATAAGAGGTGTGTTTTAGAATCTGCTATATTTGTTATTTTTTTCAAAAACAAAAACATTTACGATTACTTAATATGCGTGACGCGATTTTAACAGGAGCTCTACTATGCGGAATGAAAGATACTGTAAAGGGCATTCTCGAAAACATGTTACATTTGGTGAAAACCTATGGATATATGCTTAACGGTAATCGAGTTTATTACTTAAAAAGGTCACAACCGCCCTTACTCATAAAAATGGTATACGTCTATTGGGTCTTTAGCAGAGACATCAAATTTATCTACGATCACATTGAGGTACGTTTACGTCATATGAAATTATATCAATATTTGTTTTTATTACACACATAAGTACCTACTAGAGCTTACTAGTGTCAAGTGTATTGTGATCGCGAAATGTACAGGCACTTATTAACTATTCAAAACAAACATCTTTAGATTAGAAAATATATTTTCACTTGTTATCTTAATAATAAAATGTTTAAGAAGACTGCAAATTTTTATATTAAAGAATTTTACGAAACATTATATTGTTTGACTACATTATGTCGAATACTGAATATTTTTCAATACAATTCAAATACTTATTATAAAATTTTTTTTTTAGACTCTAGAAACCGAATTTAATTTTTGGATGAGCAAGAGAACAATCATTGTAGAAAAAGCCGGTAAAAGGTACAAAATGGCACGCTACAATACTGCTACTAAAGGACCGCGACCAGAATCTTACTAGTAAGTGCTCGAGAGCCTAACCGTTAAAATCCGATTGAACTCAATTGTAAATCATTGTTTAAATTTAGCGAAGACAAAGCCTTAGCCAAATCTTTGCCCGATGCCGATAAAGATGAGCTGTACACCAGATTCAAATCAGCCGCAGAATCCGGATGGGATTTTTCAAGCAAACATTTCAACAATTATGGACAGAATACAGGTAGCCATGTGTGTTTATAGGAACCACAAAAACCCTTAAAAGTTATTAACCCGATTATTGATATCCGTAATTAGAATCAGTAGTCGAAAATCATAGATTGGTTGTAACTGATTGCAGTTTCAATAATTATTCCTAAATACCTGTGCCCTCACAGACTCTACGTGCCCTCTATGCCCCGATCTGACTGTGCTGGCTTCTTTTTATTTCAATTTATTTTAATAATACTTATACATGAAAATGATTTTTTTTCGTTTATAATAATAGTAATAACAATTACAGTATGACAATATTATATACTTAACATTAGGGACCCTCATGAATACGGATCCTCAAAATTTCATCTATGTGGAACTAAACTCAATACTTCAAGGTAACGCACGAATTTTATCTGAATTGTTTTTACTAACTAAAAACTATGCCAAAGCAGTAAAATACGCAGCACTCGCTCAACGGTTTCAAATCGGAATAGATGCTGTGAGTAAAACTGATACGATACGTGTTATGTCGAATTTTTTTATTGAATTGTCTACGATGAATACATTTTTATATGGTATAAACTATTATTCAGCTTTTATGGAACGAAGCGGCAGGTATTTGGATGGACTACGATATATCGACACAAACGCATCGCAATTACTTTTATCCGTCTAATCTGACACCACTCTGGACCGGTAGCTACAACAAAAGGCTGACCAGGGAATACGGAGAACTAGCCGTAAACTACCTATTGAAGAACAAGATTATTAACGAAAATCTCGAACCAAACTATCTAGGTAACAAGTCACATATTTTGTATTAATCATCAACTTTACAACTTATGTATCTATTACACGAATCCACGGTACATTTAACATTAGGGGTGGGGGGTTTTAAGTAGTTCGTTTATTTTACACACACGCATAGTTCACATTTAGGAGAAATTACTTAAATTGTGTTTCTAAAAGTCAGACTTCGTCGCAGACACTGTATATTCAGGATGCGCATACTGTAATAAGTACCCTATTATCCTATGTTTTTTTTTTCAGGAGTGCCGACTTCATTGCTCGACACTCATCAACAGTGGGATTATCCCAACTGCTGGCCAGCGTTGGAAGCAATAGTCATATTTGGTCTGGATATGACTGATAGCCCGAGAGCGAAAGAAGTGGCGTACAATTTAGCTAGTTCGTGGGTGTACACAAACTATGTTGGCTTCAAAAAGACCGGTTATATGTTTGAGAAAGTAAGTCTGTTTTTCAAAAAGAAATTATTAGCTGTAATATAACAGTTTTATAGTAAATTCAAATGCATAATATCTAAACTTACATATTACAGTACAATGCAATTTACTTGGGCGAAAGTGGCTACGGAGGAGAATACGTAGCGCAAACGGGATTCGGTTGGACAAACGGATTGCTGTTCGAATTGCTGTACAAATGGGGACATAAACTCAAGTCGGAATAGAATTATAATAAGGAGAAGCAAAACAATATGATAAAAACGAAAATTTCTTTAACATTGTTAAAAGTATTTCATCGTTATAATTGTTTACTCGTTTTGGAAAATTAAAATCTGTATATAAAATTGTTTACTTCTTTTGGAAAATAAAAATCTATTATATTTGATTTCTATTCTATTTTTCATTTGATTACAATATATTGGATACCACGACATGGCGCTGCTAACAGTAATCAGAAAAACGCCATTAAAACAAACACATAGGCAACACAGCAAACCGCAAAAACTAAAATTACGGGAAACTAAAAGTATTAATTCAACCATTCGGCTTTAAAATACACAATATAATTAAGAAATTGTATTCAAATTCCCATGTTTTAACATTAAATTCTATTTGAACGATATCAACTAATCAAAAAGTGTGCATCGAATTTATCGCTTCTTTAACAAAACCAGTTCATAACAATCACACAGCACCGTCAAAAATTCTACCACAAATTATTATAATACTACTACTATTTTTACTATACTACTATTTTTATAATACTACAATATCACATAAATTAACTATTGATTATTTTAAATTATTGTCACTAGACTCGCAGGGTTTTACACAAAAAATTATTCATCTTTAACTACATAGTAAGAATAATATTTGAATCAATCAAATAGTAGGTTGGGAAGGTTAGGTTAGGTGTATACTCAAAATATACGCATTACAGTACGTTATTATGATTTATGTACAATATTTCATTCAGTGTTTTATGTAATAAGTGCTAGATATACTAAAGATATATTATTAGTACCTACAAATAATAGATCGGATTTAAACCATAGATTTCTTACAAAAAAAGAACATTAAGAGAACGCTACGCCGCCCATTTCTAAGGAGTAAAGTATAGGCAATTTTTTAACAAATCTTAACTTAAAGCTTGAACTATAGTGTATACTTATTGATATAGTAATAACTAATAACTAATAAGGATTCTTTATTGATATCTTTTTTTTTTTTGTCAAACTATCATAGTATTATTTCTATATGATAAATTACAATTTATTTTTCATCATGACTGTTTTGCGTGTTACAAGTACGTGACAACAGTAGATAAACCAAATTTTCACAACGTATAAAGAAGAACTTTATTTACGCCGTAGTGTTTTTATATTTGTTTTGATATCTCTACTTAAAAATGTTTTATAAGCAAATGCAAAAGGGGGGAAATTTTACGAATGGAAAATTTTGATTGAAACTCATCGATTTTTTGGTACAATTATTCAAAATAAGTGAATATATTTTAAGTGTACACTGCAGGTACGTCTTGTGTCGAGATATTTTTAAAAAACTCCTTAAATTAACAGACAGAGCATTTAAAAGTAAAACACTGTGTAAAATACTAATGTATTTTTGGGGGCAATCTACTAAATATCGTTGTCATTTATTGTGATAATTTATACTATAGTGTTTCTAGTCAGTATATGTGCCGTTTCATTGAATATTTAATTGAAAGTTTAATTTTTGTTTTTATCATCATCATCCTTCAATATATAAATTTACAGATGCTAGACAGGATGTTGATGCATATAGAAAAATTAGAAGTGCAGAAGAATATAACAACGAAGTAAGACAACAACGCAAAAATACAAATTTATTTCACGAACAGCGACAAAAAAAAGAAGATAAAACAGATTTCAAGATAAGAATTTTTGAAAAATTATGTTTTCAGAATACGCTAGCTCTGGTCGAAATACTTGCGTTTACACCGGGCTCGTTTTAATATTTAAATGCTGTTTAGATATACATTCTATTTAATACAGATAAGAAATTGCTACTAAGCTGTAATATGTTTAAGAGTTCTCGCTCAGAAAAAAAAAATTTGTTTTTTATAACAACTGTTAAATGTATTTGGCAACAAATTTTCTCATCGCAAAACTAAAATACGCTCACAGAGAAAATTAACTAAATAACTATTAAATAATAGATAACAAACAAACAAAAAAAACAGTTTTTAATAGAATTACTTTTTAATCCTCAATCATAACACTTATTAATCTTCCTTTTACTGCAGTACTCCAAACTTAATGTTAAAAATAAATACAAATAAACAATTGTCCTAATTTTTAATATAATTTATGTACTTTTTAATAGAGTTTATAAATAAAAGGTTGATTAGTGGTAAAATATTATAAAAAAAGGAAAGACTGTATATTATTTATATTTATCATAATGTACAAATAATATTAAATTTTTTTAGTATATAATTTTAAGAGTATGACATGTGTATTTTTTTCAGATGTTATGGTTGAATCATGAAGACAGCAAAAAAATGTAAATATATGTAAAATGAAATGTAAACCGCACGTGTTAAAAACGATTTCATCGCAAGTGGCTTAGTTCAAACATACAGCTATAGATAGGTCTAATTCAAATTGGTACAGTGTCTGCCGTCTAGCTTATAAGTGCTAAGAAGAACAAATAAAATACATCAGTCATATTTTCTTAAGATAATATATTATGATAAATTAATGAGACTGGTCTCGTAGCAACATTAAATAATAAAAATATAAAATACAGTTTTTTCTTAGTGTATAGACAACATTTATACCATCGATTGATTCCAAATAGTCTACAACTATAATATTATCTACATTTTTTGTGGCAACTTTTCTAAACGGCACTTAACTTATCCGACGTAATACTTTTTATTTAATAATAAGACATAGTCTGCAAATTATGTATAGTTAAAAGTTTAGACAAAAAATAGTATTAATTTGGACCATGATAATACATTTTGGCTATTTGAGTTTAATAAAAAAAAGTTATCGATATGGTTCGTACTTGTGACCATGTCAGTAATAATTTAAAAAAATAATACATTTTTACAAAAAACCACAATCATATTATTGTGTTTCATAGTATTAGTTTTTTTTTTGCAATAAACTGAAACAAAGATAACTACAGGAAAGTTTAATGATATTTTTTTAATAAGAATCGCTATTGTGAGATGTGTAGGATATCTCTTAAAAATGATAATTGTTTCAGAAATAATAACACGTCGTAATTCTTTTTAAAAATTTGATTTCATACTATTGATTGAAGCCGGTTTTGAAACCATTTGAATGTATAAAAAAACAATTGAATAAATAGGTACTTATTATTGTTGTGCAAATATACACAGAGGTTTTCTGACTGCTTTGAGACCAAGCAATTTTGTTGGTATATAAGTAAAACAGTCAGACCACGTAGTTGGTATATCAACATTTTAACTTCTTAAAACCGTTCTATCGTGTATTTAAGTAAATGCACTTTATAAATAGAACATAATGAAGTCTGTTCAATTTCTTTTCGTTTCATGTCTACTGCTATCAGTATTTTTAGGTAAAATATATTATTCATAAAAACAAATTATTACAATACGAATCAACACAGCAGTAAGTTAAAACTTTTATTTATAATAAATTAATGACGCGTTTTGTAATTAATTTTATAGGTGAAACCGTTTGCGACGCTTACGATTTTGGTGATATTCTTATTTTTGATGACAACACTCAAGGTAAATATCACAAATCCCAAAATGTATACACATTTTGATACAAGTTAGATTATAGTTAGATATAAGTTTTTTGTTATATGATCATTTTGCTTATTAAAATAAAAAATCTCTAATAATGTCATATTTTTTATTTTATATTTGTGAAATTGAGTAAAAACTATTGAGTTTAAAAAATGGTTACTTCCAAAAAATGTATGATGTAAATTAAAATTTTTATAATTAACTTATTTCGTTATTATTTGTTTCACAGAGCCTGATAGAGGGGAGATGAATGCATTGTTGTATAATGGTACAACATTTTTTTATTTATGTTAAACGAATAATGTGTTTTTAAAATTACAATAAAATGATTTATTTTTACAGGAAATAATTTCGACCTAGGAGGTATGTTTTTTTAAATACACAACACTTATTTCTTCTATAGATACTTGAATAAATTAGTTTTAGTTAATCTTTCCTTATGGGTGATATTTTTAAATATTTGAATGAGTATGGAAGGAACTTTTATTGTGGGAGGATAACCGATTATGGATATAGTTGTAATCTATATAATATGTTATATATGACAATGGTGGAATTGATATAGGAAACAAATTATTATAGAATGTAGTCGGCTGTGAGCGGTAGACCCGGTTGTATTACAGTGTTTAGCGATCTGTGAAAATGATTAATTATTATCATACACTCTGCGTTTATTATTTTTATTTCTTATGTTTAAATAAATCGATTGATCTATAAAAATATTATTTACTATTAAATACTATTTTTCTACAACTCAATGGATGTGTGGAGTAACTAAATTTAAACAGTTAACACATAGTATAGTTTGGGAGTTGTGCTAATAAAACTGAGAAATGGAAGACAATAAATTAATAATTAAAAAGGACGAAAAACAAAAGAGTAAACGTCATACAATTAAGTAAGTAGAGCGTAAAATAAATGAAAAATTATTGAGATCCCTGTAGAAGCAATTTGCTTTTACTCAATTAACTGTCTGATTAGAAAACAAAACGATTATTTAGAATGAAGTATACACATTTTTTTATAGCCAACACTAAAGAAAGCAGTTTTTTGTTTAAAAGAAGACTTACAGTAGTTCTCTACGTTATGTACAACCGACCCACTGTCCATTCCTTAGAATTTATATGTATATTTATAAACTTGTTGTATACTGCACCCATTGAATAACGGTGGTGGACAAATGACAATATAATATGCAACTTTTAATTTAATTTGGTAAATACGCATATAATGTGCGTTATAACATATAAATGGTATGTGTACAATGCATATTGTAAGTACAAACTTAATGGTCGGTAAATATTTTCTTGTTACTTTTAGTGGGCAGAGTTGTAGAAATTATGAAACCATCGTAAGTACATGTTTATTAATTTTTTAATTTTTTATTGTATTACAATAATTTTAACGTACAACATCGTGAATCATGTCCGTGAACGCACAAGATGTCGAATAAATTAACACTTGTAGATCAACAGAATGTATTACCTTATTCAACACTTCTTTATTTAATGTATTTTCTTTGTTGCTTCTGTTTTCTATACGGTCTGCCCGGTCTTCAAAAAATAGGACTAATCCGAACCCGATTATATTATCTAGTCATGATATGAAAATTATAAGAATTGCAAACTTATCTACGTCGAGTTTGTCTAAATAACCGTAAAAAATATCCTGATTTTAAAGCCTCCTTTTCGTATGATTGTCTTTTTTATACATTTATACAATATTATACATATACTCATTTGAATGAATTATTCTTGACAATATTTAAACCACATTTTCTTATTAATTAAATTTTTAATGTTATTCAGGCACAAACGTTACAAAGATTTTGTAAAACTTGCCGGCCCAGACGGAAGGTTTAGCAATATAGAAGCTGTAAATATATATTATGTTGTTAGCCTGAACACTAAAATGCAGGAACAAAACGGAAAATTAATCAAACTTATAAACAATTTTAATTTTGATGAAGAATATTGAGGATTTGATTGAATTAACAATTGTTTTATCAATTAAATAATATGTACTATCATTGTAACCAAGTGATTTAATTAAATTATTTACATTTATTTGTTTGATTATATTAATTTAAAAAAAGTCGTTTTTTATTCAGAAAAAAATGTAATTTAAAATTTATATCATTAATTAATTGAATTGTTAAATTTTTCAATTTATTTATAAGAGTTTAAAAGATTCGTAATAAAATAATAAATTATTTAAAAAGTTGTAATTTTACTAATGTTAGAACTATTTTTTCTGAGTACATCTCATTATCGTTTCCTTAAGAAGTTTAAAAACGGTTTGTTTTTTGACGCCTTTGACCAAATTGTTGGCCCGATATCAAATCTATAAAGATGTACCAGTTTAATGTATACCTAATTTACTACGTTATGTTGGGAACATTTTTTGAATTTTTTATGTATTTTAAAAAAGAAAATGTTAATGTGCTAAAAGGTTTAGGTTACATATATTAATTATTACATAGTAGTTTTTGCAGTGTTTGTGGCGAATAGCTTGGTTCAGCCATAAATGGATTAAATATAAATTGCCTACACACACAGCACCTGCCGCCTAGAGCCTAGAAGCCTAGCTTACGTCTGGCCCATAAGCGGTACCAAAGAAGGAATAAAACGCATCTGCCATATTTTATTAATTTTTTTTACAGAATATTAATTCGACTAGTGTCGTAAAATAATTAAAATGATACAAATACAAAGTACAGTGTTTTCTTTGAGTTAATCCAATAAAAATAGGTATCGTTCACATCGTTTCGAGAGATTAATTCCGAAGATCCTACAGCTATATTACTTATATGTTTTATTGCAAATATTTATAACGGAACCGAATTTAACAATATAACATCTGTGAAAATGATGTATAACTAAGTTGTATGGTGCGCCATATGATTTTATTGGTAAAGTGTCTGTAAAAAATGTATTCATCGAATTTCACCGCATTATATGTTCTGTATAATAAAAGGTTAAAACTTTAATCGGAGATTAAGAAAATCCAAAACCTTACCTTAACAATAATAACTCAATGTTCAAAGTTCAAACAATATATTATAAATTCAAGTGGTCGAAAGAAAACTTTAAAAGATCTTTTCCGTGTAAATTATAACATATCTTGTTATTTTGAAATGGCCTGAAGAGATGATATATTATATCCCCAACTTACCTGATCAGCCCGTAAAAATATTTTTTTTTTAGTTAACCATAATGTTTTATTATATTATATGAAAAAGGTATTGGTTTTATAATGTGTGTTTTTTTTAACGAGGTGTCTGGTTTCAAACCAGCTATACAATTTTTTTTAAATTTTCACAAAACAACAAATAATTTCTTTAGATAGAACCAACCAAGATTTTCAAACACAGTTTGAATTAGTTATATTCTTTATTTGATATTATATAAACAGTTTTATATAACATGTAATACATTGTAGTCACTTAAAAAACAAACACGTTGTCAAAATGTTTTAGGGCTGGTTTTAAGCTGACTCAAACAGAATCGTTATAAAAATTATTTTATATTTATATATATGAGCAATTATTGTTTGTTTAGTGTAGAAAATTAAACCACACTTGTGACTATAACGTGTAATTTATTATATTCAGCAGAATATGACAAAAGTTTATCAATAACACTAAATCAATAAAATAGAGATGTCATAAAACACCTTTAGTGTGTAAACATTACAAACACAATATAATAAAGTATATTTCAACATTGGCATTAAAATATTCAAAAAAATATTTGTATTTTAGAAAAATGTATAAGTTGTTTGCAATTATAGTTTTGCAAAAACTATAGTTTTTTTTATAATTGCAACCAACTTGAACAAATTTGCAACTCACTCTGTGAAACACTAAAAATAAATTTGGACACGCAGCCCCCACTTTGTCCGATTAACTCCGGATCTTCGCAATATTAAGCAACCTATTTGCTACACATTGCAACCAACTTGAAAACATTTGCAACTTAGTTCCAAACCATGTAAACGTGGTTCATAGACTTATGCATTTGCTATAATTTCTTTATATAAGAGACACAGTAGGTATAAATTATTAACTATATAATTAATATTAACATTTATAACAACTATGCATCATAAAACAGCTTGTCACATTAAGTCTGATAAAATATTATGAATGGCTTAGGTTTGGTTTAGATTTGGTTTATTAGGCTTGGCTTAGGTTTAGTTTAGATTGGTTTAGGCTTGGCTTAGGTTTGGTTTAGGCTTGGCTAAGGTTTAGTTTAGGTTTGGTGTAGATCAGTAATTTTTAAAAACAATAAAACTGTGTCTCGTTCAACGCAAATTTTATATATTTAACGTATACAACGTAGTATATTTAAAAATATAAACATAAATATATATATTATTTATAAATATGATTGTTTTTTCTTTTCATATTATAAACAATTTCATCCCTATTTACCTATTATAGACATTATACATTATATCGTTTTATACACTTAATTATCTAAAAATAATATTTATATATAATATATAGTCACAATACACTTAACACTATTAACTAATTTATATATTTAGTATATTTCTGTGGCTCGGGTCAACGAAGGCCCATGTCACTTTTTAGTCATTTTTTTGGAATAAGAATTGCTGGCCTTTTTAAAATATCATCAATGTGGTGGCCAATATGGCCAAAAAGTGTCATGGGCCTTTCTTGACCCAAGGCACTTGTTTTTAATATATATATATATATATACTGTCGAAAAAAAGTAGTTGAAATTTAATTATTACATAAATAATTATTACTTCATATCAGGTTTTATAATATGCATATGTATTAAGCATATTATATATGATGGAAGTATGTGTATACATATATATTATGAAGACTTGTATTATCACAATTGCAGCGAACATAGTCGTTGCAGACTAATTACCGGCATAAATACCATATAAAGTCATCATATAGTAAACACGAGTACATAAATAATAACAATAATAATAATAATATGATGATGATGTACGGCGGTGGCAAAACATTTTAACGGGGAATGTTGAAATGGGACTTGATCAGCCTGCCGATGAAACCGAGCCTGAGCAGTATCGACGGTTTGGAGCTGAGCCGCCACCTGAGCATCACGTACGACGCCACCTTGAACATGACGAACATGGAGAACAGCGCTGTCAGCGACACCCAGTAGTTGACGTTGGTCATGCCGACCGTCTTGAACAGGGCGGACGGGTCACGCAGTTCGCAATAGTCTTCATTGGGCGGACAAATCAGCCTGCCCCGGCCGTCGCCGTAAACCGACATGACCAGCGCCTCGACGCCGTACCGCAGATAGCTGAGGCTCATGCCCAGCCTGATCAGCGTTGGGATCTCGTCCTCATTGTAGCCCAGCCCGAACGACGCCAGCAGCATCATGGGACAAGCCGTGCACGGACCGAGAAAAACGCTGTTCTGTAAATATAGAAAAAAGAAAAACACCATATTAGCTATTGCTATTAAAAAAAAGAGAAATTTTATATTAAGGGGGAGAGGACTTCGAAAAAACAGATTACTAAAAAAAAACCACAGACGCTGCTGTTTTTAAGCCTTAAAAAATAAATAAATGTCTAAGTCTTCACAGGAATCTAGTACAGAAAAAAATGTGTTTTTATTTATTTATTTTCTGTGTATCAGGACAGTTATACCGGTTTCTACGTGTATAACAAGTCTATAGAACAGAAATCGTACCTGGAAAGTACTCTATGGAACCAAACATAAGGCAAATTAGTTCCGAATAATTTGTTTGGGTATTCTTTAGATACAGAACTATCACACACGCATGGACAAACCAAACAATTATCATAACCCTTTCCCCTAAAAGGCTCGAAAATTGTTGTTTGTTTTCAATGGAATCTATTGTAACCAATTATAAGAATAGGCAAGCGCGATTACCTTAAACGCATCTACCCTAGTATTTGGGTTTTGATCATTCTAAGCAAATATTTTAGACCAAAAATCTCTACAAGCATTAAATTCATTACTATCCTAATAATTATACAACACAATTGGCTCTAAAATTTAGTTTTCAAACGAAATTGCCTATACCGAACGCCTTAAAAATAGTATGCGTGATGTCCTATTTTAAGATGGAATCATACAAAAGTCATGATAGAATATATATATATATATATACATAAAAAAGATTATTTTAAATTACTGGGTTTCATTATTTGTAATAATTAAGTTTTTTTATTTTATTAGTGTTATGTTATTATTATTATTAACGTCAAGAATGTTTGCTAGGCGAACATTATTGGTAGAGATCAAGTGCAAGTGTGGAATGAGTTGTGTAGCATTTGTGGATCTATGTCAAAACAGTGTTATATAATACATATTTTTTAGCCCTCACCACACTATAGCGCTATTTTAAATTTAAACGTTATTTTATGTGCAAAAATAATACAATTATTGGCTTTATATTCGTATAAAAGCATTATGTTTACCATCAGTCGCACACAATACCTAAATAACCAGAGTACGAGTACTTTTGATACACACAAAATGAGAGGTAGTTTTAGATTTGTGTTCCTAAACTGAGACCCAAAGAACTTAGTGCTTGACCACGGCTAAACCTACCGTGACGCTGAATTGTGACGAAATGGCATACGCCATGCTTTCGGACGACAGAGACACCAGCAGACAGACGACGGAGAATTTGATCACTCGACTCATCTCCAACGGCTGGTCGGTTAAACAATAAGTTATGGCTATGTAGACTGACGACAAAAGAATCTGGAATAATGACGAATGCAAATTAATGCACAATCGTATAATAGAAGCTGTACTGCACGATAATAATACATCTAAAGCCATTCAAGTACCTGCATTGGAAACTGCGAGCAAGTCAGTGCGCAGAAATAGGCGTTTAATCCGTACCACCGGTTAAAGTATTCTCGTTTTAACAGCTGGACTTCGGAGGGAACTGCAATAAAAATAAAACATTACAACATTATGGGCGCTCGTTGAAAATAGCAGCATCGGTTTTTTTTTTTGTTGGCAACTCACATTTTAACAATACTGGCATAAGCGGCGTGTACATGAACACGATTACGGTTATGAAAATGAAACCGTAATTGAAAATTGTGGCAGACGCGTCGTTTCCAAAATGGAAGAACATGCTACCGACCATGAGGCCTATGAACGCGTACATGACGAATTTTAACAGTAAAAAGGCCTGAAAAATAAAATAGTTTAACGGTTATATACTATGGTGTGTTCAGCAGTCATGTATGGATTTAATATTTTGCATCGAACAAACGAAAGTAGGTGAAACGAAAATGTCCAGTCACTGCGAGAGAAGAAGTTTGGAAGTTTTGTCGATTGTAGGAATATAACGAGCGAGAACGGACTGAGATAGTTGAAAAGAATGATAACTATTAAATAGTAAAACGAGTAATAGAGATCAGTGGAAAGAGATTTGGAGACCAAGTCGTAGGCCGAAGAAGAAGCGAATGGGAGTTCTAAATAAAGACGAAGAATTGTGTGGAATGACGGACAAGCAGAAAAGATATAGCTGGCCAGCCACAAATTGACATGGGATTCGTTGTAATGTGAAGAAGAAAATTACGCTTATTATACTTTAATGATATTTTGTGAAATACTAACGTATGCTCTCTTGTGCTGGATCGCCATGCGTCTGAGAAGGATTTTGAATTGAGTCGTTCCAGAGGTGGAGAAATCGTACAAGTGCTTGGACACAGTGTCGTACTGCGACGCCCTTCGGACCAGCGGTTTCCGACATTCCGAGTCGTCTTTGTACCACCTCAAACACTTTCCGTTATCGACGGCCGCGGTAAGTTTGTCCGTGTAGTCGCCGTACTCTCTGCTGCACACTTCGATCACTGCAACAGTAACGCACTAGGTCTCAGAAAAACATAACACTTTGACACGCAGAAAACAAGTTTTATTGTAGTTAGCGCCGTGGCGTCGCCGATTATGTCGGTTTGAAAGTGTCAAGATCAATATTGATTGTCAATAATGACAGTGATGTCATAATTTGTTTTCGATACCAGACTCGCGACAACCCTCCTACCCCCAACAACAACGAAAACATAGTATCTTATTAGCAGATGAGCAATGTTGGTTCCAACTGTAATTTCAATTGTCTAACGCGAATGCACATCTGCCTACAACTGATATGATCCGGTTATTGTTATTTTAACAGGTTTTTAACGCTGGCATTGCGTTTGCAATACACGTCGTGTACAAGCAAAGGCGTCACTGCACTTGAAGATTTACAAGATAATACAATATTATGTCTCTTACTGAAGTCCGCCGGATTGTAGTGCTTGGGGCAATTCAGTCCCACTGTGGACAGGTACTGCACGATGTCCTGACCGTCTCCGGTGAACACGCACTGTCCTTCGGAAACTATGTACACGTGGTCGAACATGGCAAACAGTTTGGCGCTGGGAGTATGAATGGAACACACGATGGTACGACCGCCGGAAGCCAATTCCTTTAGCAGCGCAACGCACTGCGAGCTTGACAGGTCGTCCAGACCACTAAAACACAATGCAATGACAATTAATTAAAAAATTGGACGGCTTGAGATAACTCCAAGACGTAAAACCGCGTAGACTGTCGTATGAATGCAAAAGAACAAATTATCAATTCTGCGGAGACTGGAGAGTCGAAATTCGTAGGTCCAAAACGACCATTGCTCATTGATTTAATAAATTAATGGGTTTACCCAATAAAAGTGAACAAAATGCAAAAATAACTATATTGTCTATCTATTATGATAGGTACTTAGGTGCACTAGGTGTAGTGTTTCTGAAATATCACGACCATCCGTAACTGATGTTAAGTTACGTTAGCTGTTGTTCGTTTTCAGATTGGCCAACCAACCGTGCCTTCCGACTAATTAAGTTTTAATTAAGGAGTTGTAAAAATATAATGTAATAAGGTGATATAAGCGGTGAAATCGAAATTGCAAAAATGCAAGTTTTTTATTTTACCAAGTGACTTGGCAAAGTTCTATAAAGCCGTAGTTTGAATCCATAATACCGTTTATTTTTAATATTATGTTTATTACTGAGGTTTCATAACTTGGCGATATCTATCTAAGGTTCAAAAAGGTTGGATTACGGAAGTAAGAAGGGTCGCCTATCCAGGAACAAACTACGCGGTAAACGAAGCTCAACTGCATCAGTTATGTCTAAACATCTTACAAGTCAATGAACGTTTAAAGAATTATGAAAAAAAATAAACGTTATATTAATTATGCTTTGTAAATTGTATAGATAAGATAATGGTTGTCGAGTGCAACAATTCAACTAATGGCCATCAATTTAGTTAAAACATTTTTTAGATTCGATCAATTATGGTGTTTAAATATAAGCTCTCTATATATATGTGCTCAAAAAATAAACTCACGTCGTTGGTTCGTCTAAAAATATCACAGGTGGATTGTTGACCAGTTCTAAGGCTACGGACAATCGTTTTCTTTCACCGCCCGACAAATTATCCATAAGCGTGTTCTTCGCCTTGGACAATCGAAGCATCTGAAGAATTTCGTCGATCTAAAAACAATACATGAATGTTAAGACCAGTCTACACAGAGAGCGTTTCGTTTTACAATTGTTATGTATATTATTATTACCGAGTTAAGTTTGTCTTCTTTGGAAATGGTGTAACCTAACTTCAAGTCTGAAGCAATCTCCATGGACTCCTGAACGGTCAGGGACGGTTGCAAAAGATCCTCTTGCATGATGTATCGGCTCATTTTCCGAAATGTTCTCATGTCTCTTGGTCGACTGTTTACCATTATTGAACCCCTGGCATCGGCACACCTATCAAACCGACAATTCCCGTTCGTTAAGTTATACTGTAATGGATTTTTTTGTGTGCAAAAAAAAATATTAAAACCATATTCATTACCTGTAGCCGGCCAATACGTTTATCAGAGTACTCTTTCCGGCGCCGGACGGTCCCAGTATCGCCGTCAGCTCACCAGATCTGAACAAGCCGCTTACGCTTCGAAGAATAAATTTTGATCCTTGAACAAAAATAAAAATAAAAATTTTCTAGTAAGAGATTTATTAACAATATTGAATATATTTGTTTTTTCATTCGTGTGTCGTGTACCTAATGTGATTCTACGGATGGCGATATACTTTAGAATTTTGCTGATCTATAATTATCGTAGACTACTTTCAGAGTCTGATATAATGAGATTGAAGCTCACACTAATTTCCACGTGGGACTATTTGGCGGCGTAAAATCTTATAATGCAAACTTAAAGTAGTGATAAAAAACTTCAACAGTAAAATCCTAGGTCCGGATTCTGTTAACCGATATACATAAGCCTGACTATTTTGAAAGAATATTAACGTCTCTTCATCACTAAAAATTTTATATGGAACAACAAAATGACATGATTTTTTAACCAAATCTAACAATAAATGTGGATAAAAAATGTGTTGTTTCTGATAATAGCTAACAATATATATATATATATATATATGTGTGTAATTTAAGAATTATATACTAACCATATAAACTCTTATCAGTAATTTAATATAGTTTTCAAACTTGAATATTACTTGAAGAGTTTAAGCTTATCTTTTATATAAGTTTGCTACGAGGCATTTATTTTAAATACTAAATAGAAATATTATAACAATAGTTTTTTTTATTATTTTATACATTTTCATTCTTTTCATTGTTTTAATACGTTTTTTAGTTATATTACTACTACTTTTTTATTCGACGGAAACGGAGCGACCTTCAGTGCGAGTAGGTATAAGGCTTGGTATATTTCCGGGTACAGAATAATGTAAATTATTCATATATAATTATTATTAATTAAAATATTGCTTTTATACTTAAATTACGTACAGTTTTTCAACACTATAATTGTATTTATAAGGGAACTGGTTATTTTAACAAGTACTTACACGTATATTATTAGGGATTGCATTTTAATGATAAAAGGCTTGTGAAATCGTGCATTTTTAATTACGAATTATTAATAAGCGACTAATAAACTACTTGTGATATTATATTTGATACATAAATACATAATTTGAACTAATGTTTATAGTAAATCTATTTTAACCCGTTGAGGATAATATCTTATTGTATAATAAGTATAGCCTTGTGAGTTGTGTAAGCTATATTAATAATGGCAGATTATAGTTAATATTAGTAAATATTAATATTTTAACACCACTATGCCTACACAGCAGTTAAGCTATGAATAAGTTCATTTTAAAATTATTTTTATGAATTTAATATGTGCAAAGTTCACGGCCACTGGTGCCATTGACTCAACTAGAGACTGGGAGTCTAGGGGAATTCAAATCCTTCTACACTTCTTCAGTCTCTCAAAATATATCAGAAACAAATCAGACCATAGTTCCCGAGTAATGTTTTATAATTTTTACCGAAATTTTGAGGAAGCCTTAAGAGTTATTATGGGGCCTGAACGAAATGTTATTGTAATACCAAAATACAGTCACAAATGTTTGCGTTAAAACAAGTGGAAAAAAGTAATCATTATTATAATGTTCTTATAAAAGACGGAAATGCTTGGGCGTTTAATATATTTTGTCCGCATATGACTGATATGTTGTGTATATATTGATTTAATGTATCAATGTCGAATTCGTGAAATAAATACGACTATTATCATTTATCATAAACATTTTTTTTAAAAATATAAATACATAGTGCGTAGCATATAAGCTGATTAAGTGACTGAGTTCATCATTAGGATAAATATTACCGCGTGGAAAAATTATTTAACACCTTCCTATTAGTCTTGTATAATAACATCGTTTAAACGTGTTTAATCATTCTATAGATATCATTTTGAAAACCATAAATCATGAGCTATTATAATATACACGGAGTGTAATTTAAGACCGTTGCAATGTTTAAACGTTTTTAAAGGAAAAATCTAATTGACCTAAAATCATTTTTGTTTAAAATTATGACTTTCTTTTATTTTACAAATCAATCTATAAAAAAATATGTGCAATATTTTTTTCTAAATTATATTACAAAGCTTGAATAGCTTGAAAAGGAAGCCACCCATTGGTAACACCTCTATGTGTAAAGATAATTTATGTTATTAAGTTGTTTGTTCTATGTTAGTAGGTCTCTACAATCATTTTTGAGATGATAAAAATTTTGCAGTTTTAGCTTCGATGCGATAAATAAATCAGTGTACTTAGATTATATTTTTAGCGAAAAATAACTGAATAATAATTAATTTCTCGAATGACGACCATTTTGTAATACAAAAGTGTATATCAAGTGTATGATAATATGTACTGGACAGTCGACACAATTTTTTTTCTATTTTTTATTGGTTTCTGTGATGTGTGTGATTTTCTTTTTATTACGTCGATACACGTGACTCTTGAGAAACATATAATAATAGTTTATTATATGAAATCTAATAAAAAATCTATAAAAAAATATTATTATTTCGCACAATACAATTTTATTAAACTTCATAAAATGCATAATAACAATTTACAACGTGTTCCATTTGAGGTTTATCTCAGCCATACTTTGTGCGCCAGCATTGTAACAGTTGTATTGTGCTTATTTTTATGTTTTTCATGTCACTGTCCCGAAGACGATCTGCGGTGCTTACACACGGCATGCAAGCCAAACAATGGATTTGAATAATACGATTATGTAAACGATACAAAGGTCAAGTATCCGGCGCATCGTCTATATAATTTTGCAGAGGTAAAAAAAGGGGAAAAAACAAAAATAAAACGAAACGAAACGAAAAAAAATATTCTTATCCTTGTCAAATGTCTACGGCTTGGAGTCTCGAATGTCGAATGCTACGTTTATTGGACAGGAAAAATAACCACTTGGTATACACACGAGGCCGAGACAATTTATTCGGATAAATTGTTTATTGTCCAACCAGACATATTATATATATATATGTTAACCGTTTAATTACCATACACGCGCGCTGCCATGCCTGTAGCTTGAGTTCACATTAATTACTAAAACACCGACTGCACTGGGTGAACGCACCGGTGATAATATTTTTATTGGTTTAAAAATAAATATCTGTATCGTTAAAAACTTATACTTTTAACCGTATATTGTATGTTCAACCAAATTTGAAATTTAATCGTGAAAGGTGGGACGATTAACTAATTAGTAAATTATAGAATAACAGTAGTTAGAAAAAATGTTGTACAAATATGTATAAAAAAAATGTTTAATTTTGTCAAATCAATGATTTTCTGAAATTGTGGAAATTATACTTCTTTTAATAATGCTATTTAAAATAGATTCAAATTTCTGGACAAATTTTAATAATAAGAGAAAATTGTTATGTTAATTTTGACATCGAAGTAGGTATGTATTATAGCATATATTTTAGAAAAACGACCCCAAAAGAACCAACACACCATAGTATTCGATATCATATGCCTTAAAACCTATTTTATTGGAAAAATAAATAGATATTGTATTAAACAAGGACAAACTTTAAATTATATTTATCTCACAACCATGTACATTATTGTTGATTACCTAATATAGTTTTACGATACATTTAACAGCTATACGATTTATCAAATGAGTTTCCTGGTGAAATGGTTTAACGATGCGGACGATGAACTGATTTTGGGTCACTAACACAAATGAATAAGGAGTTAAAAAAAATTCGAAAACATGCACTTTCATAGGTCTAGTTACAAAGCTTATAATTAATTTTCCATCATGGGAAATAACGAAACATAAAATACAGACCCGAAACGATTATATATATATATATTATAATTTAGGAAGAGAAAATAATTTTGTGCTTACGACGGTATGCGGTGTAAGCAACACGTGCAGCTGTATTGGATATTTTGCCATCGTTTTTTTATGCAATACCTACTCACATGCCGTTTAAAAATTCGCCCTAGGGGTCTCTTGTCGCAGATCACGTTACGTTTTCCCTAACGAGTTTTTTTATTTTTGTAATATATGTCCCGTTTTCTGACGTTAATCTCGCACACCGCGAAACCAATTGGACTTTAAGTACCCATACAATCACTTAGATTACACAATTATTTTCTATACGTGCGTTATATCTTCTTGTCCGTCTCCATATCCCGTACAAATTAACAATATTATTGGACAATTAATTTATCAGCAAAAATAACCATCTACAACAGGCAGTAAATAGGCAATACCAGTAACTATTTTGATAAGAAAACAATTAATGCGTAGACATGTTATGCTGTGTGGTTTTAGATTGTAGATAAAATAAAAAAAATATGTAAATGTGGGTGTCGTATCAATTGTTTTTATCTTTTTACTATTTTTTAGCATTATAAAAAAAAAACATTTTCACATTAAACTTTGTCTTTTGTCCCCATTAAATTACCTATACAAAATATATACAGAGTGATCGAAATTTTGCTTGGCGTCGATTGTTTCTAGGAAGTATACACATTTCTTTTCTACGCTGATCAAGCTGAAAACAAATTGTACTTCTCGGTCGATTAAAAAAGAAAGGGCGAAGCAATTTATCAACAGGTAGTACCTGTAAGGCAACAGTGTGTTTCGAAATCCGTTACAAAATCAGTTAATGGATTTTTTTAAATAACATATGTTGTGAAGAAAATTAAAAAGTGTTCCGTGTCGTTTAACTACAAAATTAAAACGGCGGTAACGGCCGTGCACTCGTATCATCCGCAATGAATTATGAGTAGCAAGTGCGAGGCTTAGTACATTATTTTACACGGTAACTCACGCTGTACCACTATTACGCCTCGGGCCTAAAGAAATGGCGCAAGTTTAAGAATATTATATCTAGCCCATCTAGCACACTTATGTCGCACCATATAAGAAGAAGGAATGGTCAGAATGAGTTAGTGACATACAACGGCGGTAGCAAGCGAAAAGGAACTGTGTGTTAGGAGTAGTATTACCTAACTTTGTTAAAATAAATACATTTAAGTGATTAATATTTATGAAAACAAAACAAAATACCCTATGATAGTCAAAAACTTGAATAGATACTTTTTTTTTTTAAATACAGAAAAAAAAAAAGAAAAAAAAAAGTATCTATTCAAGTTTTTGACTATCATAGGGTATTTTGATAGTCAAAAACTAAAAAATATTAGTATCTGAATAGATACTAATTAACCTTTTTTTAAATTACAATTCAAAAATTGTACAAACTGAGTACGGCTCATTTACTAGCTAATCACTTAAGTCGTGATTGTCAAATATATAGTTAGAGATTTTTTAACAATGTATTTTTTATGAAGTAGTTCAGATTAAAGTATACGCAAATGTGACTAATTTGTTAATTTATGATTCAAAAAAATATGTACACTTAATAAACTGAATTAATTTAGGTATGATTTATTTCAGTCAAATAATAACACTGTAATATTATTGAATTTCATACACAATATACGATTTCAGTACCGAATAATAATATGAACGTATTTTGGCAATATTATATCATCGAGTGGTAAAGTTATCTTTGGAGTTCTACAAGGTTCGCACTTATCGCCTTTGTTGTTTAAAACATTTATAAACGACCTTATTAACGTTATCAAACATTCACGTTGTTTACTCTTTGCTGATGACGTAAAAATATTTATTCAAATTGAGTCTATAAATGACAGCTTTAATACTCAAGAAGGTTTGCACAGAGTTTACCATTGGCGTGTCTCTAATAGTCTTAGTCTGGATTAAGGAAATGTTTTCAAATTTCATTCAGTCGTAGTCGATGTGTAGTGAATATTTATCTTACAGCATTGACAGTTCTAATTTAGTTTGAGTTTCACACTTAAGAGATCTTGGTGTTACGCTTTCTTCTGATCTGTCTTTTAATGAACACACAACTGTCATGCATAATAAAGCATTACGTACATTTGGGTTCCTTAAAAGTAATTGCTGCTGGGAATTTACTGATCCGGTCTGCCTTAAAGTACTATATTGTGCTCTTGTTCGTTCATTAGTCGAATACAGTTCTATTATTTGGTCTCCATATCAATCAGGGTTATTGGACAAAATTTAAAGCCTCTAACGGCGCTTCTTGAGAATGTTATTGCATCTAATATTAAATTGGCTAGCTTTGCTCAACGTCGATATGTTGCAGATGTCTGTTGGATTCATGGTGCTATTGACCGTCCTGAAATAATGAATATTATCCCTCTTAATGTTCCTTCCATTTCCTTGCGTTTGACCCACCTATTTTATATAACCTCTTATAAACAGAACTATAGTTATTATTCTCGAGTAAACCTAATGTTAATAGCTTCAAATAAGGCAATAAATAATTGTATATTGAATTTTTTTTTTTATATAACCTGGTTAAAAGTGTTCTAAATAATATTGTTTAATGATTTATACGAATTTTATCTTTTAGCGGTATTGTAATTATTTTTAATTAATTATTGTAATATTATTTATTTTGTATTCTATTGGACTTTGGTCGTAAATTATTTTAAATAAATAATACTTGTTTAGGAGCATCAACATATTCAGTATTGTCGTACAATTTTTATGATACCCAGGGAATATTAGTGTAATTATCAAAAATTATTTTAAAGTATTAGATTGTACCATAAAGTGTATTTAAAAATACATAACTGCTATGTAGATAGTACTGTTGTTTGTTTATTATAATCAAAACCAATATTATTTGACAGGAGTATATTTTTTTAATTAAGAAATCCTTGTGATTTGGTTCTTTGGTAATATTGTTATAAATTTGATAAATAAAACAAATTATATTTCATTTTTTCGTTTGATAAATGTTACGAAATCCAACACTTTTGTTTTTATTCTCTTGTACATTCTTTATTTTTGCACGGTAGATTGCAGATTCTTATGGTTACCTATAGTATATTCACGGTCCTAAACCGGTTTCAAAACTTGTTTATGGCAATATCATCATACGGAGTCATTCACTCATCGGTTAAGTGTAGCTGCGGTCATTTAACGTACGTATAAGTTGTATAATTATAAGTTTACAACCGAGAAAAGAGTAGTCGCAGAACAATTTTATACCAGAAACAATCTGCGTTTTCGCAACAACAGGAAAGTAGTTAAAAGCGTTAGAAAACAATACACAATTGCAATAAGGTCTAGATCAAGGTCGAAATTATTTATTCGCTGATTTATGGTTTAAAAAACAAAAATCACTCATAAAATATATTTATATTGTTTGCAGTAAGGTTTAATACACGATTTTTATAAATTGTATTCATTACTTTTTCAATAGATACATATTTTGTTTCTAGGAGGGGGGGGGGTGAAAATTGCATGATAACTACTATTAACAATTATCATCCGAATGGCCAATAGTAAATATTTAACTGTGAAGTATGTCCTTAAAATATATTATTATACTATTTTAGGCCATACAAAGTTTTTTTTGTACCTACTCATGTTGTATAATAATATACTATTTAGAAAAAAAAAACTTACCATTTCGACCTTGCGGCACACTGTATGTCAAGTCTGTAAATTCGATATCAACAGGTGGTCTTTTCAACATATGATGCTGAGATTTGCCGTTCTCCAAATCGTCGAGAGTGTCCATCTTTTCGATTCTGAAAATATAAAATGGCTAGATATTAAATGTATACCTAAGTACTAATAATATTATAGTAGTGGTGACGCGTAACAAACAAAATAAATAATCCCAAACGTCATTGACAAGTTTTCAGTAACTTTTACAAAAATGTATCAACAATTTCTACATTTTTTTTTTAGTAGTTTGTCACAATTTTTTATTTTTCATATAAGATTACGATAATATATAAAATGTTTAGTACGGACATAAATACAATTAATCCCGGGTCATTCGAATCGTACTTATAAACATAAACACTACAACAAAAAAAAATATTATTTATTCCGGAAAATAAAATATCGCTAGTGATGCTGAGAATGACTTACTTAATGTACCGGTTCAAGTCCCTCCATCCAAATTTAAATTAATGTTAAAATTAAAAAATAAATTATGGAAAAAAATACAATAAAATTATCAAGTAAATTAATTAAAGTTGTGGTTAGTTATAAATGTTGACTTTATTTAGCTTGTATCACGCTTCAGGAAGCGTGTACAATACTGACAGTGTATTTTAAAAAAAAAAATAGGTAGGAATAACTGAATTCTGATCTATTCAATAAATATAGAGGAGTCATTTAAAGTTAAGTGGGGTAATTCAGAACTGTAACCAACTGGGGCACAAGTTAAGTTACTAAAAAAACAATAATAAATAAATAAACTGAATGGATTTTTAAAAATAAACAAATTTTGTGTTTCATTAAAGTATTATATAACTCATTAACAGTTAATAATTAAAATGATTTAATTAAAACTAAATTATCGATAAATGGTCTAATAAATATTATATTTGCGGACCCGTCCAATAAGTACAATTAGTTACCAAGGACAAGTGCGAGGAATTAACATTATGTAAACCGTAAACTATTCAATATACTTAAGTATAATACAATAATTTTGAGTTAAGAGAGATTGCCTGGAGGTCTGAGACAATGGAAATTCATTACGTAGACAACGAGTTGTTGCAATAATGAGTTTAAAACAACAACCTATTAAGAAATAACCAAAAAACACAAAAAAAGTCTAAATTATTATACAACACATTTAATTGTTATTTTTTTAAAGCTGTACTCAATTTTACATTGCAATGTATTATAATTTTACTGTTTTTTTTATTTAAATTTCCCAACTACCGGTAGTTTAAAGTATACAGTGTAGTCAGTAGTGTGTACACTATATACATACATTGTATAAGTACATATTTGACATGTACACAAAGCACTAATGTTCTTTTACCTTTTTTCCAGTTTTGTGTTTTTTTAGCTACAAAAACGTTTTCCAATTATCCTTAAAAATGCAATTTCTTCCTAATTACATTGGGAAAATTAATATTTTTAGGAAATCTTGAACTCTTTGTGTAATTTTATCTTAGAAACTTTCGGTCTACCGGCAATATTTTCTATCTACACATACATAATGTATTGAAGTATGTAAATTATTTTACAGTTCTAGGAAAATAATTTTTTTTAAATATTTAAAAACGAGAAAATTTGTAATTAAAACCAGTTTGTATACTATGGTCTACAGACTATGTTCTATTATGATTTTTTCAATATTAGTTACACTGAAAAAGGAAATGTCTACATAGAAATAACAGAATTAAAATGTTAAATTTTGAAAGGAGATAGGTTTGAAAAAAACTTGTATTTCATATATTGTTTTATCAGTCGCATGAATATTGATCAGACAATATTAGGTATACATCTTCGCGTTTTTTGAAAAGAAGTACATTATCATTGTGACTATGCAAAAAACGGATATCTATTAAACGGTATTATTAATATTCAGATGTTGAATTCCATTACGAGCAATATTTACATTTTCCACTACAATGTCTTTTATTTTGCCAATTGCCTAAAATACTTGACTTTATAGCTAAACTTGTCAATACAAGAGACCATTAGTACGAAAAATATTTCATTAGTAAAATAATCATATATCATTTATTATATTATGCTTGATAATTGTGCGCATTAGAACAGCATCATTGATCTTGCTTAGGGTTCAAAGACATTAATGAGTAAACAGTGTATTAGAAAAACAGCCAATAAACGTGTGTACATATTGACAATTTAACGACTATTAATAACAACTGCTCATGGCAGCAAACAATTTTAATTACAGTCGTATTGGACATTGCATTGTTTACCATCGATACGGGCTGCATTCCTTATAATATACTATGCGGAACACTTAAAAAAATTACGCTTAAAAAAAAAAAAAAATGTGTACGCGTTTACTTTTTCATATTTCTGAAATAATGTCTACAGTTTGAGAATTAACCGATTAAATAATACAGTGTTGATAATGTGATTCGTTACACATTTTTTTAGATTATTATGTTTTATTGTTATCAACAAGATAATTGCACATGTTCGTCTGTATGGGCTATAGTAGCGCATGAGTATGCAAATCCAATAAACAATGTATACAAAATTTTACACGTTGACTGTGTACTTAGGACCATATGACAATGTGTGGATACGTATTCATACTTCTAACACGATTTGTCTGAAAATCATTCGAACTGTGAGTATTAAAAGTAGGAGTGTTAAAACTATAGGTACATAAATATAATCAGTATAATTAATGATTATTGTTGTTACTTGGTACTGAAACAATTTATTTTCAAATAGTTTCATAGAAAACGGAAAATAATAAAAAAACATTTAATTGTTAACACATAATTATTTAAACTATTTTGATTATTGTGGTCGTTTTTTTCCTGTTTTGGGAATTTTCTATAAAATTTCACCTCTTTTTGTTTTGTTTTCCAAAGCGTTTTTATGGAGAACCCAATTTGAAATTGACACATTTTATGTAAAATTATATCAGCTTTCTAAAAAATATATCAACACGAAAAAATCAACTTTGTAGATTATAAACTCAATTTTAATGACTTCCTGTTACTCGAAAGTAAATCAATATTTTTTTTAGATAGTTGAAATTATTTTACAAAAGAAACTGATTTTTAATATTTTTTTTTTTATGGTAAAAGATACTATAAAAAAAAAGATAAAAAAGAAGTGTCAAGGAAAAACCTGAAAATACTTTTTACGACCTTGGCCAAAATAATCGAAAAAAAAATCCAAAAAAATTTGAAAACATTCTTTTCATTGTAACAGATGTGCAGTGTAATTTTCAAAAAAAATCCGCAGGGGGTCGTTCCAAACATTCGTTAGTACTTTTGACTTTTGACCCTTATATTTATACATAGGCGTATGTGTCTACTAATATATAAATATATTCATTATACTTTTAAGAAAACTAAGATTTCTACTAATGTATTTAAGTGACAAGCCGTGTTTAACAACCATTAATTTATTAATGTTTGTCTATTCTTAACTGAACATTGATCATAAATAATGGGCTCGACAATAATTATAAATTACGAAGACACAATATTTAATTCGTGTTTACATCGAATTTTACCATAGACAAATCGTATCGTTCTATAAATATTAAAATAAGAATTTTATTAAATTGGTAAAGTGGTACAAGTAAAAAAAAATATATATCTGAGTTATCTTATCATCCTTGTGATATCATTAATTTGTACAAGTTAATAATGGAATGTTCAATTTTTCATTGAACTTTTACCCAACACACAACGCTGTTAAATAAATGGCTCAAGTTTTTTTCAAGTGCAATTGATAACTATCACGCAGTCATTACTTTTACCCACGTTCGGTAATTGATGATCAACGATTTGAGAGCTGAATGATGTATTTGAAATTTAAAAAAAAAACCAATAAAAACTATCGTTGAACGACCATTGAATTTGTTTTATAGACCCTAACAATATATACATTATAATGTTAGCTGCAAACTAATACCTCTAGCAAGCAGGGACAAAGTACTCGTATTATAAACATTTTTAATGTCATAAAATATTATTGCTAACAATATACTATCTAATTTCCGGGTGCGAATTTGAATAATAACCAATCATTATTATTCGAATATTTACCTATTGGCTATTATTAATGACCTTTGCACATACTTAAAATAGCTGTTATTAAAAAAAAAGTGGTCGTTAACACAAACTGCATACTTCAATAGTAATTATAGCTGGTGCAAACGGCCCCGAGGTCTTTATTTAACATTTTTTGTAGGGTAAGAAATTTTTAAACACGGGGTGTATTACCCCATTCGTATGGGATAAGGTAAAAAAAAGAACAAGACACCTAACTCAGTTATATTCTTGAGACACGCAATGTATAAGTACATGATTTGTAAAAGTTTAATAATTAATTTAATATTTTCCAATTTGATAAATATTTATAATATAATGTAATGTAATCAATATTGAAACCTATTTTCTTCGGTCATATTAATATATCACTCTTTATCTGACTTTCACTGCCAATCACAAATTACAGTCATTATAGTAATTACGTTTTTAAAACTCATATAAGTTAATGGTAGATATCACTTGTATATTGTACCTAAAGTACTCAATTTGTTTCTTGTTGTCCATTAATTGGTATTATAAAAGTCGAATCACATTAATTGGCCTTGAAAGTAAGTACTCACGCTTTTGACGTAAAGTAGGTATTTTTTTCTTTTAATATTTCCTACTTCATAATAATTATAGTTATTCTATTATGTCGCAATTTCTTAAAGCTTTTTTTTACCGTCATCGACATAAAACTATAATTATCGTTATACTCGAATTTAATAACAAATTTGTAATATACCATATGTATTGTAATAAACGTTGAATGCAATAAGTAATGGCCAAGTTGTAATATTCTTATATTTTTTTCCTCAATAAGAAGTTAAATCACAGCTTCACGGTATCCATGTAAACTTATGACGTTAGCTATTGTTTTGTCGTTTATAAAACACTAAAACAAACTGGTTTCGAACAAAACATATATAATTCTTATTGCTTTCTGAATGAAATATTATAATTTATAATATAATCCTTATTATGTAATGTATTAATGTGTTTAATGCAATTTTTTTACACGAAAC